TTGGTTCAACAACAATAGAGGACAGGAAGAAAAGAATGACGCGTAGGTAACAAAACTGTTTTTGTCCTTTAAAAACGATTTGATCAAAACATGATGAGTCACCTACATTACCTAGAACTAGGTTTTGCAAAAAATTTCTCAAAACTCAACTTAAAACATTAACGTAAGCCTTTTCGAACATTTTCAAGAATTAGTAAGAACGTTTTTCAGAAAAAGTTTTGAATTTGTGGCATTTGAACGTGTTGCCCTACCCGCTTCCTTATCGATGTAGCAACGGAGGGGGATAACCATAGTTTGTCCTGGTTTCCGTCTAAGGGTACGTGCGAAACGGAAACTACAACTACTTCCTTGAAATGAATAAAAACAAAAATCCAACTCAAGAAAAACTCAATACTTGAAGATTATAACAAGTATAAACTAAGTATAAACTGCTTATATCGCATTCAAATCACTTTACAAAGTGCTTTGAAGATACCCCATACAGGTTCACGGATTGGCCAAAACTAATTTTCTTTCTCGAGTCATGGCGAGTACATGGAGCCAGCCATGTTTTCATCTACTATCATTCGTCTACCCAAGAAGTTCGCCGGGTGCTGGAACATTACAAAGAAGAGGTGAGCGTTTTTGTAACCAAGAAAAACTTTTAGAAGCCTCTTGAGTTAATAGAAGCACAACTAGAACTTTTCGAATTCAGAACTTCGTAACAGTGATAGATTGGCCTTTACTTCCACGGTCTTCAACTGTCGATCCGAATCAATCGGTTTATCGTTTGGCTCATTCACTTGCTCATAACGATTGTGTGCAGAGGATTAACACCGAGTTTGGAGCGTTGGTCGACATCGATGAGCTCATGGTGCCAAGGTGAATCAGGAGAGCAAGCAGTTCATGTAGATTTTGACAAGATATGTGAAGGCTTTTGTAATGATCTTTTAGCTTTGAGCACAAGGGCCTTAGTTTCCTACTTTCTCTTTTCGCACCATTGAAACCGATTTGAATGATTCTCTTCACCCTCGGGTCTGGTCTTCCTTCCTGTGAAGACAGTTCCCGCGATCAAGTGTCATTTATAGTTGCTGTTCTGTTATGAACCAGTAGCTAATAAGAAACTTCCTAAAGAGGAAATGAACAAGAAGAATCTTTAAGAACACCGTAGATAAAATGCTCCCTGCGGGAGACGGTAAAGAGGATCGTAATTCGCCGCACCGCCACGCGCGGCGATGGGCGCGGCGTTTCATAACTCGTTTTAACCTGTCGAATGGAGCACCGGACTTCATGTAGACCCCGCCATCGTAGACACTCATTACTGTTTGGTCCTTAATTGCATGTTGTCGCCATCTACTGCCTGAAACCATCGTCCTTTGCGGGCGAGACGTCGCACGCGACGCCCAGCAGCGCGGCAAATTACGATCCTCTTGTCACATACCCCTCCTGATAGTCACACCGCCCTGTGGTCTCTGTGCAACCTGGCTCACAAATCGCTCTTTCGCATCTCCCAGTGCTAAATATCATCCAATGCGAAGGAAACTATACGAAGAACAAATAAAGCACCGACGGGAAACTCGTAACAGGCGAAACTTCAGGAAACTCTGCGTACGAACTTTGGATCACGGCAGAGTGCATCTTTTAGTGCAGTCGAGCTTTTGCCCCAAAAAATTGCATCACTGGTGATTTCAATGCGTTTTACTCTGCGAGATGGGTTGCTGTTGACTGTATGTGCTCCTAAAGAATGAAAATGTAATAAAAGAGAGCAGAACTTATGGGCACGAGCGCGGCCAGCAAAAGTGGACATGCAATCGATTTATGACGTTTCGGCGGCTGTAGCACCCTCCTCGCTCGCTGTTCAGTCGCCAGAGTAGTCTGAATTCTGAAATACTTGGGCGCAGGGGCTGTCTCTAATCACGAATACTCTTGGAATTTATCACAAGAATGCTGAGTTGTGGGCAAAAGTCGTGCCCCAGGCGGGAGTCGAACCCGCACCTCACGCTTTCCGGGCGAGTGCGCTATCCGTTACGCCACCAGGCCGCTTTTACCCTCTCAGCTTAACGGCTTATGCCGTAACCTTACAGCACTCACACGTTTAACTTGGTGAGCCGGTCAGCCGTAATCGATGGGATATCGGCATGAAACCGCGAGGCCGAAGGCTTTACAAGTTTTTGAAGCTGTTTTGTTTATGATAACTGCTGTTTAACGCCGCAGTACGCGTTCCGAATGTTATCACAAGAATGCTGAGTTGTGGGCAAAAGTCGTGCCCCGAACCCGCAGGCCCTGGTGGCGGGTTCGACTCCCGCCTGGGGCACGACTTTTGCCCACAACTCAGCATTCTTCTGATAAAGCAATGCAATGCCATAGATCACGGTACTTTGTTTTCTAAGTGTAAACATCCTTTTCAGGAACGGTTCGCTGTTATCATTCGTGATCCAACGATTTTCTTCGCCTTCTATTGGAGCTCTTTGTTTCCCTCATCGCGCCATGTTTCTCGATCCTCCTCTGACGCAATCGAGTTTTGCTTACGAATCTCTCGATTTTTCCGGAGTTCTCAACGCCTCTGAAGCTGAACTTCGAGGTCCATACAAGGTGCAGAAAAAAGGGCTCAAGTGCATTTTATTGTAATTTTCACTCTAAAAATTTTAACGATTTTTGGTGGTTTTTCGTGCTGATGCTGTGCATCTCCTTTCGACACATCAAGTGAGAATCTTTCGTGCTGGTTACAGGAGAATTAATGTGAGTCCAAGAACAAATTTCTTTACACAGTTTTTCACACAACTTTTTACAATTTTTACATATCGCTCTCTATGAGAAATGCGCTTCCAAAAATTTCGACGCCTCAGTATTCTGAACACAGCCTTGAATGTTGAGAAGATGTCCCTGCTGAGGCATTGTTAGCAAGTCACATTTCTATCATACTTGCGCTGAGCATAACTTCTCGTTAAGATACTACCAAATGAGGCCGTTCTTCTTCACAATCGCTATCCAAGTCGTGAAGGAGAAGAACCACAAAATCACCTATCTTTTTCCGTTCGATATCGACGTTGAAGTGCTTCGAGAAGC